GGGAGAAGGGGGAATGGTCCCCCCCTGGTTTGTTGGCTAGCGGTGGGTCCCAGGGCTTTTGGAAGCAAGTGGGGCGAAAGGGTGAGGAAGTAGTTATTTTTTGGTGGGTGAAGCGGTAAGGTTTAGTTGGCCAGTGGGCTGGTATGGGAATGACTGAGGTTTGCGGCATAATAGGTGTAGAAAATTTATGTATTTTGGCCCTGCAAGGAGTAACACAGGAGATATTGGGGCATCCCAAAAAAATCATAAATGAGAGGGGGAAGATGAAATTAATAAATCAAAAAAATGGGAAAACCTAGATTCATGCAAAGGTTACATGACGAGAATAATTATTTCCTTTTTTGAAGATCAAACACTTTGTATCCTCTATGGTTTTTAAGGAAACCAAGAAAGACACATGGTGTAAGAACGAGACTGTAAAACTTATTTAGAGAAGACAAGGAAGCAAAGGGAAATAAGAACACCCAAAAACCCGAAGGTTGGACAACACTGCTGGAACACCGCTGATATAAAACATGTTTAAGGAGTAAGGAAATTCAGATTCCTTACACGGCAAATATGTTCAAAATATATGTAGCCCATATCAAGTGCATGATGCCAAAACAGGCAGGAACAGACGAATGCAAACAAAAGAGTACGAACTATATGTTTGGAACTGTTCGAAATTTTGCGCTCAGATTTACCATTTTGAGACGAGGTATAAGGACAAGAAAACAGAACGAACAAGTGCCATTCGTTAAACAGAAGTTCTGAAGGGTATGATTTATCATATTCTCGTCCGTTATCAACATTGTAATTGTTTAATGGAAGTGGGAGAACTGTGTTTTACAAAAGCAATGAAATCGAATAAACGTAGACACAACTTGGGAACTTATGAGACAAAGCAGGAAAATGTCCACAAAAAGTTGGTATAACCATCTAAGAACAAGACAATAATATTTTATGACCACATGAACTTTGGAACAAGGTGAAGTCCATAACATCACTATGGATTATTGCAAAGGTTGAGAAGTGAAATTCAAAGAATCTGAAAATGGTAAAAACGTACCTTTTAACCAAGTGGAAACAAGAATTACAAAAGAAAATTTTTCTTTATTACAACTAATGAGATTATTCTTTTCGAAAGTGAATGAAGAACATTCCCACCGTGGATGGCCAAAACGAAATGCCATAAATTTGGCGAAACAGAACACACAGAAGCAGACAAAGCAGACTGGAACAGTAGGTGCAGAAATATTAAAAGCGGATATAGATCACCAGTACTCTCACATCTCAGAATTTTGGTCCTGTCGGATATGCCTTCACAAAAATCCAAAAGGAATCAAATCTAATACAGACTACCTCAATTGTCAGTGGTATATCGAACAGAATACAAGAACTTATTATCTTTAAAAGGGGCATGTAAGAACATTAGATAATTTTAAAGGATGTTTTGTGCTTTAGTTTAGGGGTACGGTGCCCTAATCCTCGAATTGGAATAACAGACCATTACAACAATTATACAAATTATTGGGGCCTAATTGAGGAATAAGAAGTGAGCGTAACCTTGTTGAGAAGTCCATGTGGGATGTTTGCTCCTGAAATCCATAAACCACTGCTCCTCACGTTGGTGTAAAGGCAATGGTGTGGAGTGCTTGATCATGTCAGTGGGAGCATAACCAGTTTGTTGATGAAACCAGTAACAGAGGGATTGTACCCGAACAGAATGGTGTACAGTTTGCGGCATGAAAACGCCTGCGGTGAAACCTGAGACGGATGAGGACGCCCAACACCCCCGGAGATCAAATTTTGCTGCGTTTGGTCTGGAGACCCATGGTTGTGGAAGGAATATGGGCAAGGCGGTGGTGGCGCCATCCAGGGTTGAGGCGAACTCAATATGCTCCAAACCGGGTATTGCCAATAGGATTGCTGCGGAAAAGAGAAGCGGCACGAAAGACTGCTGTGGAAATCGTGAATTTTGGGCGATAACTATTATTCGACCCCCCATGCTGCGAATTATTTTGGGCCCCTTTCTGTTTTCCCATGTGCCGCTTTGCCTTTTGAAGAAGCCCTAGGAATTTCCCCATTAGGATGGGACCCACTGGACTCTGTATCCACCTCCATCAGCATAGCAGTATGCGAAGATGTATTATTTCGCTTCAGTCGTTCTGCTTTTTGTGGTTCCTCTTTCTAACAGGATGCATTTCGATCGAAACTGGGAAAAGAAGGCATGGGGTTTTTGTTCTTAACAACTGTTACGAAACTCTCGTAACTCCGGGAAGACCGGTTAGGAGTCGAAGAACAAGAACATGATCAGAAAACTCGTTCTCCGACATTTGCGATTGAATCAGCCAACACTTTGAGATGCCGTGTATAATTTTAGCATCCGAAAAAAATCACGGAGATGAGTATTGGGCAAAACTCAGTCTCCAAATGAATGGCAAATGAAGCAGTTTTTTATTATCCTGAAAATAAATCAGCCAGATGAGTCCGACCGCATCCAAGGCAGTGGTCATCAGGGCTTTATAATGTAATTAGAAGATCAAATTGGATATCGACTATATATCCATTGGTCGGAAACAATATTATCAAATTCGACTCCAAAAGTGGCTTGCCTCTCTGCAGATCGAACAACCGGAGTTGTAAGCCAAGTGTAAATTATCATTGGCTGAGGGTAGCTTGGTAATGAATAGTGAAAGAGTGTTGCCCATTTGCTGTCATTGAGCGGAACTATAATCAGAGTTAGAAGGAATGGCTGTTTTGAATATATGGTAAGTAGTGGGGTGGCTGGATTGCACCTTGTTCACCATTGAAAGGAAAGAAATAAGTAAGAGAAAGCAGGGAGAAAGAAGAAGGAGAAAAGAAGGGTAAATCCACCTAAAGCTCTGATACCAATGAAAGTAATTCTGTTTTCCATGCTTTATTCATTAAGCAAATAACATATTTTATAGGCTATATAATCCTTATAACTAATACTAAAAATCAGCAATACAAATTGCATATCATAAACAGAATATCTTAGGCAATATTTACATATTTTAACTATTCATTGTGTAGAGAAAGAGTACCCTCCAAAGGTGGCCAGGGGAAAGTCCATAGCTTGGGTGGTTTTTTTTTTTAAGCCTTCTAAAAAGCTCAATTAAAAAGGTTAGTGCTCATAAACTTCGTCTCCTTAATCCATTTCTTAATTTTCAATTAACGGTTTGATGATAGAATTTTGGGAGATTTTGTGATTTTTTGGCTTGAATGAATGTGTTCTAATGGTTTAATTATATTCTTGGTTGCTTGAAATAACCTATGAAGAAAAGTCCAATTGCATAAGAACATTTCCCCTCCCCTTCTTTCTTGCTTTGACCCGAACCAACAATATGGGTCCGTGAGGTTGAAAGTTTGCTCCCTTTTAAATGAATGAGAACTCTTCTATGTTAAAATTCTTAAAAAACTTCAAAGTAGAGGCTTTAATTTCTCTTATCCTTAGTTTTGGCCGAAACCTAGGTAATGCTATGTACGCGTTTTAATTGAATTTTGTGTTTTACCTTTAATAGGAAGATTGAAATCTTCTTACCACTCGCAATCAATACATTTAGGTGAATTATTTAATCGTTTAACATAAGAAAGGTCAAGAGTTAACATTATATTAAATTTATTTTGTTATTTTTTTAAAAAAATTTAAATGTATATACAAAAGGAGAAAAAAAAATATAAATTAATTCCCGTCTTTTACATTGCTTAGGGAAACAGTTTTGTTTAATGTTCCCTGTTCAGTTAAATTTTGAATAATTTTTTATTTTCCCTAAGAATTAAGGAATAATTGAATAAATCCTCAATTTTAAAAATAAATAAGGGTAGTTGACTAAATTACCCTTTAATTAATATCATTTAATTGAGACAAAGTTTAGTATAAAATAGTAAATTTATTACAATGGATAAAGAGTTAAAATTAAATAATTAAATAATATTTTAATTTTTAAAAGTGTTCATCTAAGATGGACAATAACAAATAGTCAAAATTAATCGAACTGAACAAGTAAACGTAAATAAATAATGTTGAAATTAAATTTAACAAAGAAAACCAAGTTTTGGATTATACAATAATAATTACATGCATGAAAATCATCAATTAATATAAGCAAACATTTAACATCAATTTCTTACTTTCTCCAAGCTAATTAATTATAACTTTCAAGTTGTAAAATCATCTCAACCAACTTGACTCATGGTAGGGTCTCCATCTTTTGCTTTCCCCCACACACTTCAAAATGCCAACTCTTTATCAAACTTTCCATTTTCCTTGCATCATAATCACCCCCAAGACAGGACCACATCTCTTTTAAACCCAAATAATAGTTTCAGAAGCTCTTTCTTTTCTTCCATCACCCATTTCGGACGCAATCTCATAATTCCTCACTTCCTCAACCCATCAAATTATCACCAAAAGCCGGTCCCATTGATGGACTTCTTCCGGTAAATCATCTCTAAACACTTGGACAATTCCATAGCTTATAAACATTCCACTTTGGAAGTAATGGGCAAATTAAATATCCATTCAAGGAGCCATTATAACCTCTTGTACCTCTTACTCTTGAAACCCTGAATTGCCAATTAGGTCATCTCTACTAAATAACCCTAGATAACCCAAAAATCCTGAAACTTTTGGCTGGTAATTAGAATCCAAGAGTATGTATGTGGCTTTTATGTCCGCAGTTGTAATAAACCATTCTAAGCACTCTTCATGGTAAATAAGCCAAGCCTTTAGCAGTGCCTACCGATTTTTGAAAACCTAGTTTTCCCAGTCCAAGGTTTTGGAATGACAAGCTATTAGCCAAAAGATCCGTTTTCCATATATTCAATACACTAAGAAGCCTGTGCTTTTCTTCTGTTCACAATAAATCCCCACATTTTCTATTAAGTTCATGTGATTAAGTTTTCCTACTGTACTTACTTCTTGCTAGAAACTCACCTTCCGCTTTGAACTTGTAATCGTTCAGTCGTTTAATGGCCCGCAACTCTCCTTTATCAGCCTAATATTCCTTTATCAACAATTCCAAGTAGCTCCTTTTCCCGATTTCTTTCAATTGAAATTTCTTGTTGCTTTCTTTAACCTCAGTGTAAAGTGAATCTTCTAAAACCAGTAGGCAAGCAGAAATATCTTGAGAAATTGTTTGAATCTTTCTTTTGCTGAAGGTTCTACATCAGAAAATCCAAAACTAAGAAAATCCAAACTAAAACTATTGCAAGAATCTCGATTAACCCAATTGCACTAACAAACCAAATCAACAGCTTCTGTGACCAACTCTCATTTGATTTCACATACCTTCTTTCAAGATTCTCAACAGCTCCAATAGAACATTCAAGACTTCGTTCTTTAAGTGACAAGTCATGGGATCTCATGGTTTCGGGTACTTTCAAGTAAAAATTTCCTCGAAAATTTGGCGAACGATATCCGTTTAATAACTGTGTCTTGGGAAAACAGTAAGGAACATTGTCAGGACGGTTTTGGAAAATATACTTAAATACAAAACCTTTGCAATCACATCTTTTTAAGCATATTTCCTTACACATATCGTATGTATGATTTTCGAAGTAACCAAGATCATAACCATACATTTCTACACGAGCAAATTTAAGGAAAGAAGCATTACTCGCACCACAAGAATCATCAATTTCCGATTCACAGCCTAAGGACCAATCAGAAACATTTTTCATTTTGAAACCAGGAAGACAAGAACAGTTTCTGCCAAAGCTAGGATCATACTTACATACACTGTTAGGTCCAATACACTGTTAGGTCCACAATGCTCATGAAATCTTGCATGTTCAGCAAACACTTGCCATGAAATTACCCATTTGCTATTCCCATTTTCTCTGCTGTATAACCTTAGATTCCCAAATGCAAAATCGGAGAGTCATCTTCTTTGATATATTTTGCCATGAATATTTTGCACTCCATAATCAGAAGAGAGAAAGCTGAAATTATCAGATGAAGTAAATTTTCCAGACAAATCAAGCGAAGCAAATCTACTACTATTATATGAAGATCTCCCTGCTTCGCGGCTAAGCAGCCATGGGCTTGGCCAGAAAGCACTTGAAACTTCTGGACCATCATAAACAAGGCGAAGGATATTATCATTGTCAAAAGATAACTTATAAAAGCCAGAAGAAAAGTTTGTTGAGCTTCTTGAAGAAACAAGAACTGAGTTTCTAGTAAATGGTTGTAAAGGAAGAAGAGTTTCAGTAGGGGAATCAAAGCTTTGCCATAGAATTACTCGTTCTTTTGTAGTAATAAGAACAAGATTTCCATTATCATACAGGTTTAAAGATGAAGGAGAGAGGGAGAAAGTGTCAGAAGACCAAATAATGGAGTTACCAGCATCAGTTAAGATTAGATTGGCAGTTTTTTGTAAAGAAAGCTTTGATCTTTCTCCATTAACGGGTATGTCTCTGTTTGCCATCCAAACAACAGTGCAAGTGTTAATGCAAGAGGGTTGAGTAAACCATATGGCAAAAGAATATGCATTTTCTCCAACTGGGTAAAACCCAGCAGAGAAAATGCCAGCATCAGTTAAGATTAGATTGGCAGTTTTTTGTAAAGAAAGCTTTGATCTTTCTCCATTAACGGGTATGTCTCTGTTTGCCATCCAAACAACAGTGCAAGTGTTAATGCAAGAGGGTTGAGTAAACCATATGGCAAAAGAATATGCATTTTCTCCAACTGGGTAAAACCCAGCAGAGAAAATGCCGTTAGATGAATGCAAAATGTTGTCTGGCTTTTCAACAGAAAGAGATGAGCCTTCATGTAATGCGTTATGAAGTGTTGAAGATGAAAATGGGAATGATATACCCAGAGAGAAAATAATGAATATAAAATTCAAAGGAGTAGCCACAATTAGGTGCTTCATGGAAAGTTGAGGGAAACAAAAATAGGAAAAAGCAACGTCTATGATCAGACAAGCCCATGGCATTTTTATATATTGAACGGGAAGGACAAACGTATTTTTTCTTTTTTTTTTTTTAATATTAATTTTTTTTTTTTTTTAGTATTGAGAAAGGTAAATTCTAATTTTTTTTAATTAAGAAACTATTATATGATTGTGACTCCACCGTTCAATCTTTTACCAAGAATGTAATTAATTATACACCAACCACTCACTAAATTACCTTAAATTATATATATATTTTTTCATTATAATAGATTATTTTATTTTTTTGAAAGGAATAATAGATTGTTTATTATTAACTGAAAACCTAATATTTATTTGGCATGAAAATTGAAATTAATTTTTTTAAAATTTTCTTAATCTTTCATAAATAATTATTAGTTGACTATTAGATAGACTAGTAGTTAATTTTAGAATAATTACTGCTATAGGGATCAAATTAATCACTCAAAATTGTACAAAATTAAATTATAAAAAATATATAATATATACATATATATATAGATATTATATAAATTTTTTTTTTTGAAAGTGATAACAATATTTTTTTTTTTAGTAAAAGGATGTGACATTATATTGGTCAAACATAAAAAGCATTGAAAGTAATGGAAATTCAACTGTAGAATAAGTCTAACTTGTATCATAATTTTTATAACCTAAAAAAATGAAATATTACACTATTTTTTATTTTAAAAACTTAGTTTCAACGTTCAACTATTTTTCACTACGAGAGAAACATTAATATTATTTCTATAAATGATTTATTTTTGCTTAATTGTGATTTAAAGAGTTATTTATTTATATTTGACATATAGAAGCCATAGTATTTTCGCTTTTCAACTCTAGGTGGATAATTACTCATTCCGAGCAAAATGGAGATGGAGGCTAGTAAAATCGGGGAAAAATTTATCTAGATTTGGTCTATGTCTCCACCTATGGACTAAACTAATGAAATTAAAATAAGGGTTCTGACTATACATTTAAAAAAAAATCGAAATATTTTTTTTTTATTTCATTTGCTTGATTTATAAGTGGGGTCACGCATCAAGTCTAAGGCAAATTTTTTTTTTTACATTAAAATCAGTGTTTTTAAGACAGAATCAGATCAGTTAATTTGCGAATCAGTGATTAGTCCGGTCTGATGGACAAAAAAATCGGATGGCAATGGAAAAAATCCAGACAAATCCAAGGACCAAATGACCCAGGATAAACCCGGTTTTTTTTTTACGGCACAGTTCTAAATAAAAGACACCCATCATATTTCCCCAATTCTGGAACCAAAAATTTTTCTCTCTCAAATCTCTTTCATACTCTGAAAATAGACACAACCTCCTTTCTTGATCAAAGGATCCAAAGACCTTTGGAGGGGCATATTCAAAAAATCAAGAAGACCTTCTCCTTACATTCTCCTCACGAACATCTCTAAAATAAAAAAACCAAACTCCCAATAAAGGACCTCTGTGAATCGGTCTTTTTCTGCTACAATGACAGCAAATCTTTGGACCTGTGGTAAGTTTTATTATTGTTGACTGAAGCCATTCCTTATCTCCTGGCCCGCCATAGTAATAATAGAGCATCGTAGTCAAGTTTCTGATGAACAAGGAAAAAGATGGGCATTGAATTGATTGGCTCTTGCAGGTGACAATAACTTTGTAAATTTTATTATTTTGAGAAATATAACTAATATGTCCTTATCTTTTAAGAAATAGACTAAAATATTCTTATAATTTACTTTTGTTAGACTATAAAATCTTTCCATTAAATTTTGGTATCTTTTATTTTAAGTTATTATAAAATGACTAAAATATCCATTTTATTTTCAAAAATATAAGGATAGACTAATTGTACTTTTCAAACTATAGGGACTGCACTGTAATTTTTTTGAGATAATATTTTATTATCCCTCATTTGGCCTCTGTGTTTTTTTATTGACTTGACAGAAAAAGATACAAAAATTGGATAGAAAAATCTAATAATGTAACAGAAACAAAATATAGAGGTCAAATTAATATATTTTAAAAAAAGATAATCCCACACTAATTATATTTCACAAACTACATGAATCGTATTATAATTTTTCCTCAAAAATATTGAGTAAAACAAAGTGGAGACGTCAAAATGAAGAAGGGTCAACCTTAAAGGGCTATAGTGGAACGAATGAGATGAAAACAAAGATGAAGCTATAGAGTGGGTCAACTTCTGAAGAAATTTTAACATATACACTTGGTATTAGATTTGCTTAAACTTGATCTATGTTTGGTTAACTTGGGGCCTTATGATACGAGTAAATTTGACACCATCCAAAATTGTTTTATGTTGGAATTAACAAGTTGGCTTAGATAGGTACTATTGAGTTTCAAAAGATAATATTTTCTCCGTCTCATTTTGTTTGCATGATTTGACAAAATATATATATTCAGAATTTAGTCAATAAAACTTTTTTTACCCTTAACTCATTAAAATATTAATAAAAGTCTTTTTATTTAATAAACAACCATAAGAGTTATTATGAGAAAAATAATTATTTAAATATTCAAAACTAAAAATCTTATAAATATTTTGAAACATCTCAAAAAGAAATAACGAGTAAATAAAATGGGACGAAAGGAGTATTAAATAAGCAATTGAATTTCAAAATTATTTTATGTTTCAAACGTTCAATCCTTCCATTTTAGTGTCTAGATTTAAAAAAATTGCAATTAAAACTGTCTATACATACGTGGCTCGTGAAAGCGTTGATTTAGCAGTATAAGGGTCACTTTGGCCAAAATCGCCTAACATATGGTTTTACCCTCAATTTTAGGTTTTATTGCAATTTCAATTTCATTTGATCTTTATGTCAATTTCTTTAAATTTTAATATCTTGTTGTAATTTGACTCTAATATAACATTTATATCAATTTCACCTTGAACTTTGATATTTTATTGCACTAGCACTTTCTAATTTAAAAAAAAAAATTCATATATCAAATAATTAATTGTTAAATATAACTTATTATCAAGAAAAGAAAGAATTTAAAAATATTAAAAATAATAATAGAGATTGTCATTACCATTAACCCAAACTCTCTTATTCACACAAATGTATTAAGTTAATCCAAGCCAAGGTCTAGAGCGAACCTATTTTTTATTTACAATTTAAGTCCTAATTATAATTTAGGATGGTGTTGTAATAAAAGATCAAAGTTTAAGGTGAAATTGGTATAAATATCAAATTGAAGTGAAATTACAATAAAAGGTTAAGGTTCAGGGTAAAATTAGCATAAAGGTCAAATCAGAGTGAAATTGCAACAAAACTTAGGCAGCCATTTGTTTCCGTAAAATAACTTGCATAATTTATATTTTATTTTGCATTCTTCTCATATTGAACAATAAAATTTTTAAATTATAAATTTTTTTATTATTATTAATATTTTTTATGGGCTCATGAGATAAAAACTTTAATATTTATAACCAATTTTCAAAATTATAACCAAACAACGGAGAATAAGTCATTTGTTTTTCAAGGAAAATGTTTTTCTAGAAAAATATTTTTCTTGAAAAATATTTTTCAGTAAGTTATTTTACAGATATAAACGGAGCATTAAAGTTGAGCGTGAAACAATATATTCAGCCAATAATAAATAGTTTCAAGTGTAATACATAAATTACTCTTAAATTTTATTACTTAATTTTATAGTACCTTTAACTGTTTATTTTGATTTATAAAATCAAACACTGCAACTTATAAAATTATATTTATTAATTATATTTATTAATCACTTTAAATTAGAAAATCATTTGATTGAAAACATTTTTTTATATTGTATACTTCAACTTGTAAAATTAGATCAATTAAACATTTATTAAACAATTAAAATTTATAAAAATATTATTCTAAAAGTTATACTAACTACAGATTGAATCAATATTTTTCATGTAAAAGTCAAAAGTCTCAAATGTGGAAGGGTTTACGATATTACCAAAATTTACAAGTTCAAATGCACGATAGTTAATAAATTATCCACAAAATTTATGTTGCCATAAGATTAAAGTTGCAAAGTTTACAAGTGAATTTATATATTCAGTCAAATAGCTTTACTCATCAAATCATGAGATATTCAAGAAGTAATTCACAATCAATTTTTGAAATTGTCAACATATCTTTAAATAAACCAAAGATGCTATGATTTTTAATAATGATATCAAAGTTGAGAATTTAACTAAAATTTTAAATAAGAAATTATTTTTTTATTTTATATTTTATGCCTTATTATAAATGATTATGAACTTATTTATGTTATTAATAATATGTTTATATACCGACAAGGTATTGATTGGAGTAGTTAGTGACTTCAATCATCGTAAGGGAGAGAATACAAGTTCGATCCTGAGAAGTGGGCAAAAACCTTTACACTTTAGAGCTCGAGTGGATTAAACTTCCTAGTTATACAAAAAAAAAAAAATGTTTATTTAGTCTAGTATGTCCTAAGCCTCTTAATATCTGATAATAAATCACTTGTACAAAAAAAAAAAACACACAGCCACGATTTAAAGTATTTGATCGCTTGCTCCACTTGGTGGCTATTCACAGCTATTGTTCGACTCAATAGTCTTTCTATAAGTCCGATTTGATTACTTTCAAATTTTTTCATTCTATTACAGAGGAACAAAAGACACAAGCCAAAATCACCATAACAACAAACAACAACAATAATAATTTAGAACTAAATCTGAGAACAAAATTCTAAAACATGGATAACAAAATCCCAATATATAGATCTAAGGATTCTTTGACAAAAAAAAAAATCGAATAAAAAAAAGAAAAGAATGACCACGGGTGAACTCTCACTTGTGGCTTCCTGTGAAAAAAAAAAAAAAAAAAATCCCATATATAGATCTAAGGATTCTTTGACAAAAAAAAAAAAATCGTATAAAAAAAGAAAGAATGACCACGGGTGAACTCTCACTTGTGGCTCCTGTGAAAAAAAAAAAAAAAAAAGCAGAGAGAGAGAGAGCTTTTTGCAAAAAGCTACTTGCCTTGCTTAGAAACTGATAATACAGATTATCTAACTTGGGATGGTAGGAATCCACATGAAACAAATTGTTTCAAGACTCTAGTTATCCTTGGGACAGGTTATATAAATTGGGATGGTAAGAATCCACCATGAAACCAAACCAAACCGTTATATATATGGGTTCAATCGACTATATATGGGTTCAATCGACCCACGAACAGCCCTAGGATCCATATATGGGTCCGAAGTAAAATGTGATATTGAAAGTTCAACTTGTGTTCAGTGCGCATCAGAACGGGCAACTAAGTCCCTTAGGGTGAAGCTTTTATTAGAAAATAGAGTCGCCAATTGGGTGAAATTGAAATCTGGGTGAGGAATGTTACGATCTACTCGAGACTGCTCGGAGATCAACCCATCGCGGCGCCGGAGTTCAACATCAAAACTACGGCCTCCAGCCCGCAAGAATTAAAGTAATTAATTTATTATCAGCATTATCTACTGTCATAAACAAGTATTGTCAAAATAAGGACAAGAGTCAAACTCTGTTTGCCAATTAAAATAGTTACAAAGGTTAAAAGCTCCAACCCAATTTCAGAGGCTATAACATTGTCATGCTATTGCAAATGACAAAAGATGTGTTATATTATTTTTTTTTTATCGTTCAGCGTACAGGGTAGATTCATACACCAGTTGTAGCTAAGTTCTTTTCAAATCTTAAAACTGTGCTTTAACAAATTATGCTTATCTTATAGTCAGAATGGATTCATTCTTAATTGAAGTTGAGGGTGCCATTATTATAAGATGTTCAAATTGAAATCAAATTGATAAAAATGTAAAAAATGGTAAAAGTGTAAAAATTTAAAAAATTTAGGGTATTCTAAAATATTAAGCTCCAAAAAAAAAAAAAAAATCTCATTCTCAATTATTTTTCAATATAAAAAGAATATGTGTACTATTTTTCAAGAGTATAATTATTTTGAAATTTTGATTTACTTTAAATTAAGAGACATTTACATTTTCAGTATATCTTTAAAATTGTATAATAATTGAAAAAAATATAAAATAAAAGTTATTTTTTCTCATCAAAAGCCTATTATTTACATTTGACACCGTTCCCTCTCTTGGTACAAGAGAACAAGGTGGAGAGGCTGACTGCGAAAACAAAGTGGAGAGGCCAAACAATTAATGAGAGCGGTTCACTTCCAAAGGAATTGTTAATACATGAACTCAATTGACCCGACCCATCTCACCATTAATTGATTAGTTTCTGAGAATTGACAAAATTAATTGTTTCACTTTCATAATTTGATTAAATAATTGTAACACCTTAGACTTTCATAATTTGATTAAATAATTGTAACACCTTAGAGATTTGCTTTTTAATCCTTTCATAAGATTATTTACGACCGAAGTAAGTAATATTATCTAATTAATTGATATTTATTTATATAGCAATTTAAATTAAAAATATTGGATAAAATTAACTGTTCAATTTAAAATGACAAAAAAAAAATATTAGCTGTTTAATTAATTAACTTTATAATTGCTAAAAAAAATTTAAATGTTAAAGTGCTTAACATTCGATAAAAAGCTCACTTTACCTCTAAAGTTATAATATGACAAAGCCTTAAAAGAAAACTTTACCGCTAATTTTTAACAAGAAGATAAAATTATCCTACATAGTTTTTTTGTTCCTGTTCCTTTATTCGTCTCTTTTACAACCCTCAAATTCACCCCTATTCCCTTTCCAGTATTTGCACCGTTCCACAACCCAATCTCCAATTCACCGCTGAAGCCCCACCGCCATCTTCCTCCTTTCCATAAAACCTCAAGCTGCATGTCACTCTCACTCCCCTTATTTCCACTTATCTTCCGTACTCAAATCCACCCAATGAGTCTGTCTCCATCTATATCTACAATAAGAGATTTGAGTTTTGGTTTTGGGGTAAAGAAAGTTCAAAACCCTTTCCATAAAACCTCAAGCTGCATGTCACTCTCACTCCCCTTATTTCCACTTATCTTCCGTACTCAAATCCACCCAATGAGTCTGTCTCCATCTATATCTACAATAAGAGATTTGAGTTTTGGGTAAAGAAAGTTCAAAAACCAGATTATCTTTTTGAGTAAAAATCAATGTGTTTTTGGACTGGAGAATCACTGGATTTTCCTTTGTTAGGTTGATGCTTTGAGAAGCCACAAATAAAGAGTGGAAAAGCCATAGATACATTGGGATGATTAATAAATGCAGAATACTTCTAGTGTTTAAGCTATACATAAAATGACTCTATAGAACCTGTTTGCCATTTTCAAGTCTGTGAAAGAAACTCCCTAGCTTGGGTACAAAACTTGCCTCGGTTGAGACGAAAATAAGGCTACTTTCCCTCGACTCCTTAATGTTCAAACATAACATAATGATTTCGTTACTTCGTAATTACACTCTATATATGTGCAGGTATGCCTACAAGTATGTGATTGTCTCTCTGAACAACACTAACAATAATATTCCGGAATGCAATTGCAGAGTGGTTACAAAACTTACTGTCTAGAGTGTCCTACTAGCTTAATGCATAAATTTGACCTAACGAAGCTAGCCAATTAGAAGAAGAATTTCTCGCATAAGTAAAGGAAGCTAGGAAAATTAATCACTTGAATATATGGAAGATGGATGAAAGATGACAGTGGTGAGGAAGTAGAGCCGAAAAGGTTAGTCAAATGGGTCAAAGAAAAGCCAAAAGCAGAATGACTCAAAAGAAAAGCATTTGTTTATGCAAATCTTCAACCAGAATACCGTTACTGATGAAATGTATTGATCTCATTTATGTAAACTAGGGACCAAACAGTGTTCTTGGAAAGAAAAATAAAAAGACTCAAGGGTGGTGTCATTTTTGTAATTACTATGTTGTGGTTCTTTTTCCTTGGGATATATTATATTCTTGTTCTATGAACGAACAGTTTGAACTTCACCCTGAACTTCACCCGTTAGCACATGAAATACCTAAGACAGATTATCACATTACCTTGACAAACAAAAGGTGTTTCAAAAAGGATGAGATATCTGACTATTAACCGTTGAAGCAAAGCAAAAACAAGAAACCATCTCCCCCAAAAACCTCCAACAATCATTCTCCTCTAATTAATTTACTCCTAGAAAGACACTATTCTTACATTCTTTTTCTATAATCAAGGTCTCCAAATAATTTTCAGTCATCATGAATGATTCAATGATGATGCATCAAATAAATAAAATATATTGCAATTTTATCTAGATGTATGGCTTGTACAAAAACCTAAAGCAAGAAATTCTGTGAAAATAAAGTTTCATTAAATAATTGTTGGATTATCAAATACTGTTAAACAATAAAAAGTGCTTCAAAAGGATGATATCCAACTAGTAATGGTTGAAAAACAATCACCTCAAACGAAGATCATGGAACCCGATGTGAAGAGCTAAAAGAAACAAGAAAAGAGTTTCTACTACCCTCACATAAAGGATTTGCCTTCATAGATAAAGTCCTTCTGGCACCCCTTCTTTCTTTTTGAACATCACTTTCTCCTTTGCTTTCTTGAAGTCTGCATGAGTCACCTGAATCAAGAAACACAAAAACATTAGAGAACTGAACTGGCAACTGTCAAATAATTAAGTCTACAACTTAAGTCCAACAAAGGCTCCATAGGAAGAAAATTCCATACTCAAAAACATAGGAAGACAATAAAGGCAACAAGAGAGAGGACAGGAAGTTGAAAGAAGAGAAAAAGAATGGGGGAGGGGGACAATGCTTCAAAACAAAACTTGGTTTCCATAGAAGAGCAGTTATTTTATTCCACAACTTTGGCCAAAAAAAAAAAGGACAGCGCAGAAATCAAAGTTATTCTCAACCAGCAACCTTATTCTCAATTAGGCTTTCAAGCAAATTTAGCACCGGAAAATTCCAATTATATGCAAGCACTAAGTTAATCAGCAAGACATTCAAATGATTTGCTCGATGTTCTAAAATATTCTTCAAAGTATGCAAGAGATCACCTTCATGCGCCGCTCTCTTAAAGCTAGCAAGCCAGCTTCTGTACATATAGCTTTGATATCAGCCCCAGAGAATTCATCCTTGGTCATTACAAACTCTTCTAAGTTAACATCATCTGCCAATGTCATCCTCGATGTATGTATCTAAATTCGCAAAGGAAGCAAGAAAACATTATGGGGAACCCAACCTAAGAATAACATCATGCAGTAAGTATAATCTTGCACATAAACCTACCTGGAATATGCGCCTTCTGGTTTTGATATCTGGAAGGGGAAATTCAATCTTTCTGTCTATTCTTCCAGGGCGCAGCAAAGCAGGATCAAGACTTTCTATTCTGTTTGTTGCAAGAATTACTTTAACATCTCCCCTGGAATCAAAACCATCCAACTGGTTCAGCAATTCCAACATAGTTCTCTGTATCTCACGTTCACCACCAGAATGTGCATCATATCTGACAAACATAGTTTTCAGAAACTGTCAATCATAACCTGTCACCATGGTAATACCACTTGCAATCACTTACATCAATAAACTACCTCTTTGTGCCAACTGCATCTATTTCATCAATGAATACAATTGATGGCGAAAGATCATCTGCAACTCTGAAGAGTTCCCTGACTAATTTTGGGCCATCTCCCAAGTATTTCTGAATCAATTCACTCCCTACTACACGCAAGAAAGTTGCGGAAGTAGAATTTGCGACTGCCTGAAGTTAAATATAAGACCATATTCATGACATCAGCCAATGCTGAATGGTATATTGAATGGGTGGTGAAGCAAAAAAGTTCAAAATTTGTGAATAACAAAAGATGTGCAAGCAATTATGCAATGCATATTTGCTTCATACCAGAAATACACAGATTATGCATTAAATATCTGAATACATTCCTAGATTCCAAGTTATATGTTAATTCCTCACTGTTAATTCCTCACTTTAACTTCATTTTTACATTAAGCTCCACGCGCCGCGCGTGTGCACACACACACACACAAACACACATATATATATTTGAACTGACCAAAAAGGACATTAATATGATTTATATTTACATAGAAAAGGCATTGACAAGCCAGTTTAATAGTTAAATTTATTTACATTACCATAAGAAAACTTTTGTTTAACCATAAAACTTTCATTTTAACCATAACTATAATATATTTTGTTCCTAATTAAGAAAAATTAATTTAATTATATATTTTTAATTCTTCCAATTTAATTTCACAGTCCCTAATTAATATAAAATACTTCTAACTAATATATTTTTGATTCCTCCTATTTAAATTCACTAAGTGACTATATATATTGTAGTATACATATTCCAAGGATATACAAATAGTCGCAAGTTTATTCAGGGAAAGGATATAGGTAAGCAGAAGTAATTATTAAATAATTCCATCCTCATTATCATAGCAAAAGTACAAAGCCCAAATCCTTATCATTTCCCATTGACATTGCAGCACACTTGCCATTGACAACATAGATACATTAATCTAAACTCCAATCCAACCAAACCCCCCAAAAGAATGACCTAGTAAGTACTGAGGTTTCATGATGAACCAAACAAAAAGAGTGAGACTAATTTCCCAGCAAGACATACAATTTACAGATTTTTCATGGAAAAAATTCTAAACAACTTAACTGAAAAGAGCTATTTGATAAAAAGATAGGCATATATCTTTAGCAACTAAATCTAGTTATACTGAAAATTGAGCAAAAAAATACCAGTCTAAAGGCCTCTATCACAACAAGTTCATTGAATCTAATCCGATTGCTTGTTTTCTAAAAAAATAAGAAAAGAGGTAATAGTTCTACCATGGCCCAGTTTTTAGAATTCCTATCAGGTTTGCAATATCTAAAATAATTATAAATCCCCCTTGAGAAATTGTGAAAGAAAATATAACCAAACTCAAAGACAGCTTTATTAAAGAGATCGTGTTCAAATTAGAGATGGCTCTTTCACTATTTCCGTTCTTAATGAATAAGAGCTCATAATATGCAAAGAAAAAATTTCATAACTTCAAACCCATGATGAAGATTCTATAGAAGAGTTAATTTCCAGATTATGCTAATTTCCAGAGTTATATTAGCATGTGTATTTATGATGCAAGTGTATATATATTAGAGAGAGAGAGAGAGAGAGATTAACGCACCTTGGCAAGCAAAGTTTTACCAGTTCCAGGCTCCCCATAAAGTATGACTCCTTTAGGGGGTTTAATACCAATATCTTCATACAATTCAGGATGAGTGAGTGGAAGCTCCACTGCTTCTTTAATTTCTTGTATTTGGGCATCCAACCCACCAATATCAGCATATGATTCCAGTGGAGCTTTCTCAACCTTCATTACAGAAACCATGGGATCAACCTCATCTTGAAGAAGCCCAACAACAGAAAGGACCTGAATAAACATAAACAACAAAACGACATTCAGAATCTAAATAATAGAACACAAGTCTATCATATAAATTTAGAACAAGACTTTCAACCTCACAGAAGACACATTCAATATAGAAGCTTAGAGTAAAATGTCCATTTCTTTCATCATGGGTACATGAAAAATAACACATTTATTGGTAGATGAATCATTGAATATTATCACACTGATTTATGGCTCACAGAAAGACATGCTGTTCTATAACTTACTCTCCACATATTATATATGGGGAAAATTCAAAACTGGGCCAATGATTTTACCAATTTCTTGTTAGGTAAAATTTCTTGTTATAGAATAACACATGATAAACTCTTTATCAAATGAAAACAAAATGCATAACATATGAACTTTCAGGGGAAAATGTAAGAGAGTGGTATTGCACCATATTTTTCTTGCAGTTTCTATAGATATTGTTTAGGTATTATATATAGTTTCTCCCAGAAAATGTTTAAGTTGCACAAAAAATATTTGGCTTCGAATTTGATCCAATTTCAGGCTACCAGTACAAAGTTCAATGCTCATCATACATCAAGCAACACAAGAAAATTTATGACAAACATGATAATGAAAAATGGATTGTTAAGCATCAACCATAATGGCAATAGAAATTTCTCATATATCACTTTCTTTTCTTTTCTTTTTTTTTTTTCTTTTCGTTTTGCTACATTCCCTCTTGCCAAACACAATTTAACGACCTAATTTTTTCCTTAACAAGTAAAACATAAACATAAGCAAAAGCAACCTACAGCAACCCTAAAAACACCCAATTCTCAAAAATCCCAACCCAATTGTCAAAATATAAACAAATTATACTACATATAAAACAACCCTAATTATCCCAAAACAATGAGATAACACCAAATTCTCAAAAATCTAAACACAAACAAATGATCATACCTTATTGTGCATGAGAATAGCGCACCCAGGCTCGAGCTGGTCCTTATCAACGAAGGAAAGAATCCCTTTTTTTTTTTTCTTTTCGTTTTGCTACATTCCCTCTTGCCAAACACAATTTAACGACCTAATTTTTTCCTTAACAAGTAAAACATAAACATAAGCAAAAGCAACCTACAGCAACCCTAAAAACACCCAATTCTCAAAAATCCCAACCCAATTGTCAAAATATAAACAAATTATACTACATATAAAACAACCCTAATTATCCCAAAACAATGAGATAACACCAAATTCTCAAAAATCTAAACACAAACAAATGATCATACCTTATTGTGCATGAGAATAGCGCACCCAGGCTCGAGCTGGTCCTTATCAACGAAGGAAAGAATCCCCACATAGTACTCAGGCCCGACTGACGACGAAACTATGGCGTGGTTTTCATCAATTAGCTCCTCCAAGTTGCCGACGCTCATTGGCGAGCCTCTCAAATCGTCGACCTTCGATCTATCTTCCTCGTTCTTCTCCTCTAACGGCTTCAGCCTCTCTTGATTGGCCACGAATTCCTCCTCCATTAGAAGATAGTCCTTGATGCGCTCTAGTTTCAGGAGGCGAAGCTTACATTTAGTCAGAGGGGTGACGGTTGGCAGTCGGGCGGCGGCCTCAGGGCCCTTTTGTTTCCGCTGCTTGCGGCCGACGCGGGACGGGGGAGCCGCGGGTTCGTATTTCTTGTCCTTTTTGTTATCGGAATCATTTTTGCGATCGCCCGGTGGGCGGTTCATGCCTGATGGGCCTTGACCCATGGAGGCGGTAGCTGTGGCGGTTGTAGCAGTGGTGGGAGAGAGGCAGAAGTCTGCAGACAGACGCAGAAACAGTGTTAAAGACGGACCTGGTTTTTCGTGATTGCACTCGTAGTCTTCTTTGTGTTTTTCTTAATTGCTATGCCATGCGTAAATTTACTTGGGACGGAGAACAGCCTAGTACATAAATTTGTACCCTTAAGTTTAAGGGTATAACCTCGTGTCACCTTCAATTTGTCAACATCATGCATTCAAAATTGTCCATTTTAATGCTCATACTTTCTAATTACAGCAGTTTCTTTACAAAGAGAATTTTACTCAGAAATTGAAACTTTATAAAAAATACCAGATAAAAAAAAGTTCAAAATCCTCTCATATTAGCTACATAATCGGCGTGTGCAGATTGTGCTTTGAACGAGAACATTTAATGTATTTAAGTTTTCAAAATCTAACTGAATGACTATTTTTCAAGGTGTATTTTTAACAATGTGCTCAACTCTATGAATGTAAACACAAACATGAACAACAATTTATGTAAGTATTCAAAATATAGACACACAGTTTGATGGTGGCACTATAATTTTAAAAGACCATTTTATGTTATTACACCTTGTAAATATGTGCATGAATTTTGTTAATTCCGAATTACTTAAATTTAACTGAGCATCGATGAAATTTTGTGCTCATATTCTGAATAAGTTGTACAAAGTGGGGGAAAAAACAACACTAGTTGTACCCTATTTGGATTTCCTTCCGGTGAAACTAAGTTAGTTGTACTTTTTTCTTCCCCCTGAACACCTTTCATGTGGAAATATTATTTTCTAGATGGATCTTGGGATTTCACCTAATTTTATAAAGTGACTTGAAAGATATATTAAATTTAGCCGCTACTTTTTTATAACTGTGCATATTTAGGTCACATTATTGCAACTGAGAAAAAACATGGTGCTTACAGAATTTTTTATATGATCTGGTGTATTTATCTTTTTGTTTCTTCTTTTCTCATGGCCTCCAAAAACATTTTCTGCATCAGGTAAGGAGTTCAAACATGGCAGATGAACAGTTGCGTACATATCGTGAGAATGTGTAGGCAAATTTGTTGGAACTTCGTTGAGCTCAAATGAAAATGAAGTATTCATGATGCAAAAAATATTATTTCCATTTCTCTATTACTCTTAGTTTGAAAAGCTTGTGAATACAATTACATGTTGATGTTCTGCACCAAATTTATATAAATGCATATTATTGAAGTAGAGGAGATAGCAAGAGTATCAAAAATTGCTCTACATTTTCGTCATATTTGTGTGTATTTGCTTGAAATAGCTTAAGACTTCAGAAAATGAGGGAAATTCAAAATTTCAAATGTTGAATGTTAATTTGGGAAGTTTGAAAAAGCATAAATTAATGCTATTAGCTCAGAATTCCCTCCATTTTCGGCTGAAATCCTATAATTAATAATTTTTTGTGTGTATATCCACATAAGTTGGCTCTCTGTCAATTAAAAAGTCTATTTAATGTTGTTTATGGGTAAAATAAGCATAAATTGGAAAAACTATTCAATTAAACAACCATCTTAATCCCTATACAAATTCATTTATCAGAGAGAACAAAGGGAGTAACTACTATGCCTTTGCCTTGCCACGTTGATAAAACACACATGAGTTTCAAATGTCGGTAGGGGTGGCCACAGTTCCGGGACCGCTGGTTTCGGTTCCAAAAAATTTAGAATAGGAATCGAACTGAAAACTCTCGGTTCCGATTACAGTTTCAAACGAACGATCCGACTTCGGTTACGGTTTAGAATCTAACGATTTTGGTTTTGGCTCCTTAATAGTTCCAAAACGGACGGTTTTGGCCGGTTTTCCGACTAGTGCGAATCGCATAATTGTAAAATCAAAATTAGAGAACATTTTTTACTAAAAATTTAAATTTAAATATTTATGAAATAATTTTTTAAAAAAACTTTAAGAAAAAATTAAAAAATGCTTGAACATAATTTATTTTTCTAAAAAAAAGGCTTGAACTTTTTTTTTTTTAAAGATGGGCTTGAACTTAATTTATGTTTTTTTAAAATGAAAAGGGGTATTTATAGTAAATCTAAAAAATCAACTTTCCATAAATACCTTTAAAACTAGTTGATATATAGTTATTAGGAGGATTAATTTAGGGATTTCATAAAAATATTTGAAAAAAAAATTGCTAGAATCGAGTGGAACCACTGGTTCGAACTTTCGGAATCACTGATTCTAACCGGTTAGAAAAACCATCAGTTCCGATCGGTTTTTTAAAACCATCAGTTTATGGTTCCTCAAAAGTTGAAATCAGAATCGGACCGCAGACCCTCGATTCCGAAAACTGTGAAATGGCCACCTCTAAATGTTGGATCAAGAGTGCATCTGGCATATTATCCACCTAGATTTCTGAAAAGTAAGGTTATTTATATCTTTTAATAGCATTCTTGAAAATAACCAAAAAGCCATAAAAAGAGAAACATATTTTGTTTGGTGCGTATGGATAAAAGCGTCAAATCTAATTATTTGCTAGTAATTAGCCACTATGCTTGTTTTTTTGAGAATTTGTTTGTTTCCGAAGAAAGATATAGAGCAGGAAAAATAAATGCAATGTTTGATCTCTACGGTATATCTCTAACTCAATAAAATGTTCAAATAAGATCAAAATCCTATTTAGAATTGTATCATTTTAAGTATATAATCAAACCTCGAAATTGCAATCACCACTTCAACCTCTATTATTGTCGCTATCGTTTATGTAAACACTGTTGTCGTGATTACTTCTGTTATCTCAGGTTTAAAAAGTTTCGGGTGGGTAAAAAGAACGATTTTAGGAATTTCAAAATGGAAAAGAGACGATAATAGGATTATTGGGAGCGGAGGTCTGAGAATTCTTCGAATATTGACTTGTAAAAGCAAAGCAATAAAGTTGTACTGTCGTAGTTATTTTTTCCGTTTTCGGTCAAAACTCAACTCCTAAAATAAACAATGAGAAGAAAAATTAATTATGAATTCTTGGTATTTTTTTTCTCTAGTATTTTGACACGTCATTGGTGATATGACATCCTTTTGTCCTCATTTGACACGTCATCAATGTGTGTGTTTTAATTTCTTTTTTGTGTCGGACGAAGGGTAAAATATTAGCAAAAAAAAAAAAAATACAACTTCCAAGGCATGATAGATTCGCGGGCAAATATGAGGGTGAGATTGATCGACATCCGGAGAACGCTCGGCCATGAGTCCCAAGGTGAAAGGAACTTAGCAAATGTATAAGGTTAAACATGTAAATTTTTGAGGAAAATTTATGCCCATGGACAACTGATGTTCTGTATGGGTACAAAAGCTATTTGTACTATTAGATTTTAGTTATTCAATAATAACCATCAGAGCAAATTTTAAAATGGTAACCGCTTAACTAACAATAAGTTAACTATTTATTTTATTTTATCATATAAAATTATAAAGTGCAATGACGTGACTTCAAAATCAGAATATATTATTTCATCCTAGTTAGCTATTCTCATGGATGATCAACCAATGAAACTTAGAGCATTTTCAATACTAACGTGGACTGTAGCTATCATATAAAATGAAGGTGTGAATATTGATATGATCGAATCTCTTTTAAAATCTCTTTCCAATTATGTTATAGTTTTAAATCTTCTTTCATTCTCTTTTTTTTTTTTTTTATTATTGGGCCTACAATTTAATATACAACTAATTACCAAGGACTAATAAATCTCCACACTGTCCAACAGATCCTCTGGAAATAGGTATAATAGACAATGTCTTTTTTTTTATATATATATTTCAACTTGACATATCAAATAAACATTAATAAAAGAGAATATTTTTTTAAAAAAATGCAATTAAATAAGAGCAATCTATGTCAATACCGGAGTCTGAGAAAAATTGAAATGTGAATAGCACGACCCTAATTCTATTTTGTTGCTAACATTTGAGTTGTCTTCCCGTCTCTTTCAATCGGTGCAATGGACTAAATAGCTCTAATGGTCCGGCTTCTACCTCTATTAGGATTTGACAAGCTCGTAAAAAAAAAAAAAAAGGAATTGGCACTAAATAGCTTCTAAATGGTCCCGCTTCTACCTCTATTAGGATTTGACAAGCTCAGTAAAAAAAAAAAAAAAAGGAATAAGTTTCCCACAAAAAAAAAAAAAAAAAAAGATACTTTTCCAAAAAAAACAGGGAGGCGGGCAGTCCCCAACAGCATGGATGGGCGCTCCTGAATCCACAACCAAAAAAAAAAAAAAAAAAAAAAAAAAAGAAAATCGCAAAAAAAAAAAAAAAAAAAAAAAAAAAAAGAAAAAATCGCCAAATTTTATATATTGACGATGTTATAACCTGAAGTCATAGAGGAGTAGTACAACACAATCAGGAGATCACTAGAGAGAATCAACATTCATTGCATGATCAGTTGAAGTGGAGGCATAAAAAATGGTTAAGTTTGAATTTCTGCAGGTTGGGTTCTTTACGGATGTTCAACATCAGATGAAGAATGTCTGCAACTTAAGAATATCCCATGATGCAATATTCTCTTTCCTGTTTTTTAAGTATGCTTTCATTCAAGTTCGTTTTTTTAACACACAGTAGCCTATTTTTATGCTTTTACTTGTTATTATGCTGGTTGGGTTTCTTTGTAATCCTGTACTCAATGTTGAAGTCCCCATATTACAAGTTTAGGTCCGGTATAGTGGTCAGGACGGAGGCAGAAATTTTAGTTAGTACGAGCAAATTAAAGTTAATGGATATTAAATAAAATATAAAAATAAAATTGCCTAAAATATATTTTTATTTTCAAATTTCAATACAATAAATTTTTATTGTTAGCACTCAAACATAGGAATTACAAGTCTGGTGTTGAATCTATTGATATTATAGTATCTGAACAATTTCAAGAAACAAAAGTTATTCTTACCTAAATCTATTGATCTATAATATTTCTCAAATTTATTTGACAGAGGACAAAAATAAAAGGTGTAGTTAAATAAATTGACGTGTGTCTAGATAAATGAAATAAGTATTTTGACTAGGTTATATATTTTTAAAATTTAAATTTTTAGTGTGTGCATTTTGTAAAGTAATAAATTTAAGTTTATTTTTAATCAAATTTTTTGTCCAAAATGTACTATATATTTCAAAGCATATAATATATAAATTTGCTATATATGTCTCTGTCTCTCAATAAAATTAAATGAAAATTTTATTTATAGTATCATCAAAGCTATACCTAAAATCTCAACAAATATTTCATATTTGATCTTTTAGTCCATGTAATTAGCAAATGCTAAGCACAAGTCATATTCTTGTATTTAAAACATGAAAATAGCATTATTTTAGGTTACATCTAAATGCTTAAAAATTTAAAGGTTTATTTATTTATTTATTTTAATTTTAGGGTGGGCATAAGCCCATGTTAGGCTGCATGTGGCTCCGCTTTTGATAATAGTGGAGCTTGACGGCGCGGTTTTAGTCTCTTGGGCGCTTGAGGTTTTCCCTGCCGTTCTAAAATTCTAAATAAATTGTTTTGCTTATCAAATTTTAAAATTTTGTGGAGGAGGTATTGATTATGATTTTGTTAGATTTTAAAATTTTAATGGTATTCGATCTATATTTCTTTAGAGTCTATTAAAATTTTATAGTATTTAATTCGGACTTTTATAAAATCCATAAAAGTCTGATGATATTTAATCATGACTTTTTAAAAGTCTATACAAATTTAATAGTATCCAAAAAATTGTTGATTTGGATGGATTTTATAAAATTATTGATTTCGTTGTATTTTAAAGTATTAGGTATAAATAGAAGAGTTATTCATCAATCCATCCTCTAATCCAAAGATTTCATTGGATTTAGAGTGCTAGATATAATCTTTTTTTAATTTTCATTTTAAATTAAAAAATATATTTAAACCTGCGATTTTCTGGTGAGACGGTTGCTAGAGGTATGCAAACTTATCGCTTGAATTGAACTAAAAATCGAATTGACTCATTTCAGTTCAGTTTGATCAGTTAAATCAAGAAAGTTCAATTGTTGGCTTATTTAGTTTGAACCAAATTTTTTATTCAGTTTGAGTCGATTTCATAGAAATCCATCGGTTGGATTTAAAATCGAATCGAAGCGATAAAATTGACCAAAATTGACCAAATTGATTGGTTCTGTTCGGCTCGATTCAGTTCAGAAAGCAAATTTGCTTCAATTCAGTTTGTTTATAAAAGATCAATTCGATCCGGTTTGAATCTAACTGACCATTTGCTTATCCTGCAACTGTTCTGGAGGCGCGGGATAGTCGGTAGCGATGTTGGCCATTATTGTAACATCCTCTTGATTTGAGTCGGGTTGAACCAAACCTGGTTGGGGTAGAATGGATGATGAGTGGACTTAATTGCATGAAAAGTTTAGGACTTGTTTGCATCAAAACCTATAGGTTGGGTATTCAGTTGTATTGCATCAAAACCTATAGGTTGGGTATTCAGTTGTAGCCTTTGCACACTTGAGGTACCAAGTAGAAAGTTACACAGCCAAAAGTACTTCTTCTAGAGATTACCCGTTCTTATCACCTCACTTTACCATTTTCACGTTTCTCCTTCTCATCTTACTTGTCCCGCCTATTTTCTTTCCATTTTCAAGCATTAAGTCCACTCCAAGTAAGTAGAATTCCTTGAAGTTATATATTATTCAGTCTTTAATTGGGTTATATTGGAGATGAGTTATGAGAATTCTTGTGTATAGGAGAAGAAAGTTCAAAAGCTGCAGAAAAGAGAAGCTAAAACAGAGTCCAAGCTTTTTGGAACGCAAGGTTTGATATCTTATGTTGTTTACTAGTTTCTTTGCATGTAAATTGTGTGGTGTGTTGCTAGTGAGATGATATGTTGCTTCCTTGTGTTTGAGTGAGAAGATTGGTATAATATGAAAACAGGGGATGAATGAATTCAATGAAACAGATTTGCTGGAAATTTACCAAGCAACTTCATGCATTGATTTGACCAGAAAAATGATGGGAATTAGGAAGTGTGATTAAAGAGTTATTTGTTCCGTCTATTTGTTTGTCTTTATGTGGGGCTTTTGATCATTTCCAAGTTTGAGTTGTATATTGAGAGTTATGGCCAAAAGAAACACAGACTGCACAATCGGAAAAACGTCCGCGCAGCCAGTCGGCGCATGCCTGGAAGCACCGTCGCGCTTCGCGATTTCCTATTGCGCGCTCGCGACTTGAGTCAGGTAGCTCTCTGACTCTCAATTGCACAACTCGCGCTCGCGAGGATCACATGCACGGTCGCAACTTTGGCCAGAAGCTCTCTGACTCTCAGTGTGCGCATCTCGCGCTCGCGAATCACACAAGCGCGCTCGCGACGTGTGCTGCGCGGTCGCGACTTGAGCCAGAAAACCCTCTGACTCTCAAATGCATTTCTTGCGCTCGCGAGGTTTGAAGACGCGCTCGCGACTTCTCTCTGGGAAGCATCTCGCACTCGCGACTTGGAATGTCGCGCTCGCGACTGATGCTTTTTTCGCGCTCGCGAACATTTGTTTTTCATGCATTTTGATTTTCTTTTCTATAATCAATTACATTCCTTTGCTCAATCATGCATGCATCCAATCATGTACAACAAAATATACTATAAAGAACATGGATTAAAACAACATAACCAGAGCCATTCATATGATGTGAAATCAAAATCGAACATGAATGAACTATGAAAGTTATGCAAATCATTTATGTGTTAATGGTGTTTATATTCATTGAACATGTATATAGATAAGCTCCATTGAGGTTAGCGTAGATGAACATGTAGAGTAAGGCTAATGTCGCGGACATAGAATAGCAGATCTGCGCCCAATAAGTTTGGAACTCCGGCTACAGCCCGTGTGAGTGGAATGATTTATACAGGCCATAGCACAAGCCATTACAAGTTTCAATAGCAGTTTTCATACAGTTTATCTTATCAACCTCTGTTCGCTATAACCTTATGAGCCATGACAGATATGTGACTTATTCATACAGTATATAAGAAGAAAAAAGATCATCAAAGTAAAATCTGAACAGAAATTATGAAATTTGTGTGCTTATCTGTGCTATTATGTGTTTAACATGGTTCTTGACAATAGTGTAATGTGTTTATTTGTTTATGTTATATTGAGATTATCCACTGGAGCTTATGAGCTCAGCGAGTTACCGTTTAACTCGCAGGTTTTTGAACTGGTCATAGTCGGATTACAACTGCTAAAGTTCATCTACAGAAGACTCAATCTTCAGGGTAGCTAGTCATTTTACTGTATATCTTTTATCTATCCTTTTTATGGCATGTAAATGGCACACAGTTGGGCCCATTTCAGTTTGTAAACCAGTATCATGTCTTGTAAATATTATATACATTATGAATGTTATCAGCATCAACATGCTAGTATTATTAATGTTATCAGTATCAAGTATTTTCTACACAGTATGAAGTCAGCATGATAGATCATACAGCCAGCCAGTTTGTAACATCTCGACTCGGTTCATTCGGGTTTTCGGGCGGACCGGGAAGGGGTGTTACAATTATAGGCCTTTCATTGTCCATGATAGTAAGGTTTCAAGAAGAAGAAAATGATTTTGGAGAAGATGACACATTTTTTGATCCCTCATTGTTTTTTTGAGTTTTTCAATTGGACTCAAAAACCTTTTAATTTGTTCAATTAGGTCCTGAAAATAATTTTAATTGGATATATAAAAGCCATTGTAATTCTATTAAAGTTAATCAAAATGTATAAAAAAGTCTCATCAATTCCATAAAACTTTATGTAAAATTCCAGTGAAATTTGTAGAAATCTTAGAAAATCGTTCAATTCTATTAAACTCAATAATTCTTTTAAAATCTATCAGAATCTTAATTCAATACACCCCCTAAGTTTTGGAATTTAAGAATTGCACCAAAGATTAAGAATTTTTTGAATTTTGGGTTATTAATCTTTCATGCCATGTCTTCTCTTAAAGAATTTGATATCCATAAGAATTTGTTGCTTTAGCAGGATAAATGTTGATCTGCTGCAATGGTTGTGATTTTATGCTGTGAACGGATTTAGCTCCTGTGAACCTTGATTTCTGAACTCATTATCGCAGTTAGCAGTACAAGTTTTATGCTTCTGACTAGGTATATAGTACATGTGCTCAAGGCATCCAAGTGTAGATACATTTAGCACCTAATCAAACATAAATTTCCACAAACATAAAGTTTTTTGGATAAATATATCTCACTTCCTGCATAGAACAGTAATTCCATATCCAAATATCATTAACTTAGCAGATTTTGCTCATTATGCAAAGCCTCAGAGAGTTCAGATGTACATCTATAAAATTAGAAAAATTCTATTTATTTAATATAGCTTTTGCATATTGTGCTATCTACCCTATCACTTCTTATTTTTTTTTTTTCATTTTTTTACTCTATTAGCTAGTATTTTGTTTAAGAAGAAAAAATATTTTTGGCGCGTTGCGCCTGGTAACACGCGCTTATGATTTATGAAACACTTAAACAGGCGGTAGCACTGCTCACCTCTTTTTCATAACAAAACGATGACGCTTAAGCGTATCTAATATGAGGGCCTCCCCGTCCCTTTTCTCCGTTTCATCTCTTCCAATCTCTAGCACTCTGTTTTTCTCCCCCTCTCCCTCATTCTCCCCTTATTATGGTTTCCTGGTGGTTCAGCGGGCCTTTGTTGCTGGATCGTTGGTGTGCCACTTCAGCTCGGCTCCCCGGCCATTTCAAGTAGTTTCCGGCAAGCATTCGCAGATAGGTAGGTCGAATATCGTCCCCTAACATCTCTTTATGATTTATATTGCATGGTTTGGTGAATGAATGAAGGGCTTGAACAAGTTGGGACTTGGTAATCTCTCACAGCGACCCCTTCGATTCCAGTTCGATTGAAAGGAACTCCCAGGCTGAAGTATGCTGTTTATTAAATCTGAAACAGTTATACTGATCTTAGGTCTTAATAAATGAATTTGCTGCAAGTTTTAATTAATATCCGAATGACGTTGAATTATTAATTCCCTAAAATCCAAATATAAAGGAAAATGAATAGAAAATTTGTATGCAAACCCAATTCCTATCAACATGCAATTACTGGTTCTGAGTGTATATATGTTGTATGTAATTTGTTACTTTGGTTTATGTTGTGTGTAATTTGTTACTTTGGTTGAATGAGAATAATGGGTCAATTTTAGCTGCTATTGAGCTTGTTTTAGGAATATGATTGGCTTTTTTCATATCATTGCTTTTGGATTGCATAGGTGCTTAATAGTTTTGCTTCTACATTCCATTGTTGTTTCCTGCAAATATTTTTCACGGTAAATTGTGCCCTGAACCTAATTATGCTCTTCAAGTGATTTTGAGAACTCTGAATGTGTTGATTGCCTCATTTTTATAGATGCCAGCTAAACAGACCATTTTCATGGATGTTATTTGTGGGGGCTGACATTTTTTTTTTCCTCTAGAAAAAAATCCAGGAAAGGTGTTTTTGCTTGGCTATTATCTCAATATTTGAACCGAGGACAACCAAAATTAGTCAGAGTTCCGAGGACAGACACTAGCAGTGAGAAACCAATCACAGTTGTACCATTAAAAATGGATGCAGCAAAGAAGAAAGCATTGTTTCGTGCTAAGCTCAATGCACAGAAGAAAGACAAGCGAATTGATTCTCCTCTTGTTAGGTAATCCTTACTTTTTAAAAATGGAACAATTTTTTTTTTTTTTTGGACTCTAATTTAAAAATTCTATGCATTGAGATATTTGCTGTCAAGTGGCTTTTTTTTTTTTTGCAGTTCTCTTTGTTATTTAGGGCGTTGGAGACTAACACAGTGCTATATCATGTGTGTTGCATATGAAGCTGTTTCAGAATACAAGGAAGGATGCTGTTATTATTATTGTCAATTTTTAGGATTTATCTAGTATCATTTTGCTTTGAGACAGAGAAAAACTCGTATGCATACCACAAACCAATCTCTAACTTAAGTAGTGGAACAAAATGGTAGAAGATAAGGCCGAGTTTCACCCTTAGTTACTCAACTTATCGCTGATTTTTATATGGCCACTCAACTTCAATTGTTGTCTAATAAAGGTCCTTTTGCTAAAGTTTTTTAGCTTCAATGTTGACATGATAAGTAGGTAATATGTTTGTAATATAGTTGTATAATTAAAAATGGATTCCAGAACTTTCCTACCTTGTCAACTGATTAATTTGTTTTTTTAAATGTCAATTTGGCAAAAATGACCAAATTGATATGAAACGACAATTGCATATTGTTGGTACTGAATTGATGTTTAGTTAACATTCTGAATTTTTTTGATAAACTCAGTAACCGTTGGTTGAATTAATTCCAAATTGGACGGGCTCATCTTACAATCAGTCTTGTTGGATTTTCTGTTCATAAAGAGGTCATTATTTGTGTATGTAATCTTGGCAAATGGCCTTTGCCCTTCATTATGATCCATTTCTTATCTTTTTGAAGACTTTCAAATCTGTCCTTTTGCTTTTTATCACTATCTTTTACACAGATGTTGACATAACAAATATGTAGATTTTTTAAAGGTAAATTATTATTTAGTCTCTTAGATTTCACCTAATTAACAAGTTTGTCCTTGTATTTTGAAAATCAAATTAAATAGTCTCTGAGGATTATTTTTATGAACAAAATGATCCTTCAGTTAAAAAAGAAAAATGGAAGTCATTTTTAAGTGGACAAGAAAAGACTAAATGATGACCTTTGCTAGCCATTGAAACCCTAATTTCATTATCCTTCCTTCCTCTCTCCCTCTCATAAGAGCCAAATTCTTATTTCCACCGATGATGACAACAGCCAAAGTTCCAGTCATTCAATATACCACATATGTGCATGTTGCCATGGGGGTCTTCAGCCTTGCCTACATTCACGGCATGGGAAATCCTTTCCAGCCTCACTTCAATCTCCTACCATCATCAAGCATGAGCTTCCATCTGCCATAATGATCATTGCAAACTCACCAATTTTGTTTAGTTTATTTTTATGACAAAGGGGAAAGCTTGATAAATCTAATCCCTCTGAAGTATAATTTGAATGAAAGCTGGATGTTTCACCTCCATCTCCTACCATCATTGAGCATGAGCTTCCTTTTTCCCAAACATTAGTTCTTTTCTATCTCTTTTCTTGTGGTCAATTTTTTATCCATTGCTCTTCAGGTGCTAAAACCCTATTTCCGTTTTGTTTGTTTATCCTATTACTAGTGAGTCGTTTGCTTCCTTTCTATTCTGCTGCAATTGTTGTTTGAGTCGTTCGCCTTTTTTTTTTTTTTTTTTTTTTTTTGTCGTTCGCTCTTTTTTTTTTTTTTTTTGTTTATTTTTTAGTTGCTGTATTGTTTTCACTTCCTTTTTTTTTTTTTTTTGTTTATTTTTAGTTGCTGTTGTTTTTCACTTATTCTTTTCGTTAATTTTATTTTTGGCTGCTGATGTCATTTGCTTTATTTTTTCTTTTCTTTTTGTTTTGTTTATTTATTTATTTGCTGTTTCTTTTTTTTTTTTTTAAAAAAATTGTCATTTTATTCTGTTTCTTTCATTTTCTAGTGTCATTTAAGTTGATTACATATGTTATAAATGGTCAAGGGTATTCGTAGGGTATTTATTAGTTTTAAGTTCCAATATATCCTTTGACTGTCAAATCAACTTTGGCTACGGTAATTTGCAACAAATCCTAAAAGGTCTATTTTGCTTATGAAATCAAACATTAAAGACAGTTTAAATCGTTTTTCAAAATGTAGGAACAAACTTGTTAATTAGGTCAAAACTTAGGGATTAAATGGTATTTTACACTTCTTTTAATCGTCTTCCACTTCTTCTTTTTAATGACTAAAGTTTTAATCTTTTCCCCCTCTTGCACATGACATTCAGGTACAATGAATTTGATCAACCTGTTTGTAGGGTTTGTGATGTAGTTTTGAAATCTGAATCCCTGTGGGATGCGCACCAAGCTTCTAGGAAACATCATCAGGTAATGTCTTAATGATAATGATTAGTTATTCATACAACATGCAGTTACTTGGTCTGATATTCAGACAACATGATTGGGAAAGTAACACTATTTTGCTTAATTGTGCAATCAAATTGCTCTTTTTTTTTTTCCCAGTTCAAGTGCAGGACACATGATGATAAATAGCATTCATCAATGTGCTGTGGTGTTGATTTATGTGATTTCAGTGCTTTCCAGTAGAATGTCGAAAAAGAGTTTTCTAACCTTACTATAATCGAAAATGTTGAAAAAAAATAATTTTTTTGCATGGATACGGATTCCCAAAGATATCAAGTTATTAGTTTTAAGTTTGCTTGCCGGAGAAGGCATTTATATTTTAAAAGCCTTTTGATTTGATGATGATTAATCCATGTTGTCTTGCTTGTGGACGCTACTGTATCATGAAAATGCAGTTCTTTGTAAGTATAGATATAGAGGTATAAACCCCAAGATGTGTGTACTTAATATGCATACGTATATACTTGTACAAGTCATAAACTATATTTCATATTCATTAACATTTTTCACAATTATATGCAGAGCTGTTTCTTATTTTTGTTTCCATAGGTTTACATTTCATTTTCTTTGTTTCTGAGAATCTACTAACATGAGTGTTATTATGATGCAGGCAGTAAATAATATTAAAGCCAATGCAGTTGGACGTGTGCACACAAAACCTGAATCCCATGCAGAGTCTACTAGACCTAAACAGGCACCTAATGCAGACTTGCATGAAACCAAGTTTGAACCCTCAGCAAAATTGCCCAAGCCTCAGTCATCATCAGTACTTCCTGCAGATTGTTTTGACAATCACGAGACACAGTCAACTACACCTAAACGTGCACCCAAAGCAGAGTTGCCTCATAAAAAGTTTGAGCCCTTGAAACCGTCCGAGCTTCAATCATCATCTGCACTTCCTCCTGATTTTTTCGATAATCGTGTGACAAAGAGACAAAAAAGTGGTATGTAGCTTTCTCTTTGTTCATATGAATTTGCTAAAATAATATAAGTGAAAGGAGATGTTTGGATTGACTCTTCTCAAAAAGACCGATAAATACCTATAGCTAAATAATTCAAACGTAAAAGAAAATTACTCTGATCAATTTGACTTAAATGCTCTGATGCAACTTGTTATTGGATATCAGCACTCATTTTGACACATTTTTTTCTATTACTTGATATAACAATGAGGTTGTAGCACTGTGACTTGGAGGTTACATGTTTCAACCATAGAAACAGCTTCCCTCCAATGTTTAGAGAAAGTTTGTGTGCATGTAGCTGCATAAGCAATGCGGGAGGCCTCATGCACTCTAGCCCAAAAAAAAATTTAAGCGCTGGTTCATTACATTCTCAATAAGGTCAAAAATTGAAAAGGCTTTGACCTATTACTGCTCTACCAAAGCACTGTCCTAGGAATGAATATAAAATCAAACAACAAAAATATCAAGAAAAGAAAAGCAATTGGTCAACAAAAATATCAAGAGAAGAAAAGCAATTGGTCTTCATAAGACTTCTAGTCTATGAGCTCACAATCAGAATTTGTTCAATGAGGAATTCTATGAATTCGATTTTGGAAAATGACTTTATTATTCAGAATGTTGGGATACTATGTTATTTTAACTTATCATTTCAAATGCTAATTTTGGTGAGGCAGCACATTGGGCCTTCAACTGTTCCTTGCATGAAAAATATTTTTTAGTAAGCACCTGGTCTAAAAATTATAATAATATAATCATCATTTCTATGCCTGATTATTATGGCCAGCAATTCTGATGCGTCTTACGTCTTGTTGCTTCTTTTTATTGGCATTTGACTCATGGAAGCATATAGGACTGCAATTCCTTCTGATGCCTGCAAACTGTTGTGAATGTTTTCCTTGAATGTATTTTGTTTGTCTGTATATGTTCTTTTGTTCCCGTTTTTGACATTCAATTACCCCTCTTGGGAACAGATGCTGTGAAATCATTGGATCCGGATTCATGTAAAACTTCAGGCAGTTCTTTCCAAAATAAGGTGGAATTATCTGTAGAAACTGATATGAATGGATTAATTAGTGGTAACGATGTGCAATCAAAAATCTCTAGGCATGCCAGGGAATTCAAGCATACTACAACAGAAAATTCCGTTTCAGAAACCAAGCAAGTAAAGGGAGCTCTTCCTGAAGGCTTCTTTGATGACAAAGAAGCTGATTTGCTTGCTCGTGGCATTAAGGTTATTAAGCCAGATGTCAAGTAAGTTTTGACTTGTATATCTTATGCATGTATCTTAATTAATGCATCTCTTTTGAATTGGTGCAAATATGAGTTCCTGTTTCATAGACTGTAGTTTGTCTTACTAATTGGATTTTAAACATGCTATTGCTTGATTCTGTCAAATGACAAGGGGAAGAAGAAAATATCAATATGATAATGAAAAATAATTTTGGTGGAGGTTAGATCTATATATGAAGCCTCGCTGGTGTAATACCTTTATGATATGCCTATTTCCAGTGTGTTATGATCTTTTTGTTCCAATGTGCGTGTTATGTTTTTTATGCTTCAAGCTCTCATTTCAAAAATCATAAGCTGGACCATTTTAAATCATGGTTAGAGATGAATACAAGGAGTTTGAAAAGTTGATCCAGGAGGACTTGCAGGAGGTGGATGACCGTTTGGAAGAAGAGGAGGTCAGTGCTACTCATTTATTCAGTATTCAATTTGCCTTTGAAATCTGTTTCCTACATTACAACCTTATCGATATGTTGTACTTAACTGCAGATTGATGCAGCTGAAATGATAGAGGAGGCTGAATCTGTGGAGCAGAAGTAAGTCCAATTTGGCCGACTGTCCTTGCATATTCTCGTCAATAGTTTCTTTTGCTAATAAGTTTTCCCCCTTCCATTTTGTTTCTCTATTTTACAGGGCCTACAGGGGAAAAGTGGAATTATTGAGAATGAAGAAAATGGAGTTGATGACTGCTAGGTCTGCCAAACAAAGAAGAGATTCTGCTGTTGCTGGCAAAGAGTCTAGTCATGAAGAATCATCTAGCGATGATGATGATAACGATGAGAATTTCGCAGTTGATTGGAGAGCTCAACACTTGTGAACTAGCGAAACCAAACTAGTCAGTATTTATATTCTTTTATATGTTGTGAATGTCAGCACCTTTTTGGAAACTAGTACCATAGGAAAACCAGACATACAAGCTCAATGAACAACACTAACAACATTTGCGGAATTTCCTGTATCGTTGATATGTTTTCCAGAATTCTATCAACTAGTAGTGAAGGAAAAACTATATCCAAATTATCCCAATTCAAGACATTATATTTGACATGCTGATTTGAAATTTGCCAAATCAATATACATATACAAACACACACACACACACACACACACACACACACACACACACACACACACACACACACAGATTTGAAATTTGCCAAATCAATATACATAAACACACACACACACACACACACACACACACACACACACACACACACACACACACAAACACACATATATATACAAAGCAAGCATTTTTTCCCTAGAAAGTTGACACGTGGCATATCCGCTTGGCATTTTAATTTGACATGTGGCGTATTCCTCCAATTAGACTTCCACTTGGCACGGTTTGATTTGAATTTATTTACAATTAGTGTTTCTGATTTGATTTGGTATGATTATTCAATGTATTGTTTTGGTTTGAATTTATTTTGAATTAGTTTTTCTGGTTTGGTTTGATTTGGTTATTTAATATATTAATGGCTTTACGTAATTATTATTAATTATTAGTTTTTAAAAAATGATAAAGTTTAATAACAAACATTTCCGTGTATTAATGGCTTCAAATTTGTGAAGTTACAAAAACAATTTCAATGCTTATTAGTGCATTACTGTTACGTTTGGATTTGGTATTTGGGTTGTAGTTATTTGTGTAGTTTTATTAGTGTTTCCGTTTATTTTTTTTCAAATGGTGTGGTAATGCACTTTTTTTAAATTTTAAATTGTTCACTCTCAAGGAACACTTTAACTTTCTTAAAATACTATATATATATATAAATTGTATCACTATATTCTTATGTATTTTTTCAAAAGTGTATTGGTCCCTCTTTTTAAATATATTATTCGTTTTTTCTTAAAAGTTCATAATTTTTTGCATTTCAACAGGGTAAGCATTCCTTACTCAAACTGTCTTACTGTCAACTTTTTTCAAGATTATTTAATATGTTATTGTAGTAGTAAATTATCAAATAGAAGTGAAAAGTACGATATAATTGAAAATTTGAATGCAAATAGAGATGATTGGACAATAAAAGTGAGGGTATCACGATCGTGGGATTTGTCTTTTGACAATAGTGGAGATTTTACGGTTACAGAGATGGTATTGCTGGATGAAAATGTTAAATATAATATTTTATATTTTTATTATTTTGCATAACCAATTAAAAATAAAACTATCACTTTACATATTTATATGTAATCGTTTTTTTTTTTTTTTTTTTTTTTTTGTTATTGTAGAAAAAATTATTTATGCTACCACTTTAGGATTTTAGTTCTTTTTGTCTAATGATGTTAAAAAAACCCTTTACATAAACTGTTTTAATTTAGCCTAATTAATCTTTACTTTTCAAAATATTTGTACTAATATTTCAGTTTTTTTTTTTTTTTTTTTTTAATTTTTTAAAGCCCGGAACTAAAGTTTATTACAACTGAAAAAATAAATATTGTAACTTTAAAAACTTCTTAGTATACTAATATTTCAGTTTTTTTTTTTTTTTTAATTTTTAAAGCCCGGAACTAAAGTTTATACAACTGAAAAAATAAATATTGTAACTTTAAACTTCTTAGATGAACAATTTAGGATAAACGGACGGTTAGTTTTGCAAGAACTTTATATTTGTTACTTTTTAACATTTAAATATTTTTAAATTTTAAATCCACGTATTGAGGGGGATAAATATAAGAATTAATCTTATATTTAATATTAAAAGCTTTCATTATACAAATTAATTAAAAAAAAACTAATTGGAATTTAAATTAAATTTGACAAAATTTATAAAAAAATCCATAGTTTTAAAAACCCAGTGCTTGCTAGTCTTTAACTAAAATGTATATAGGAGTATTACAGGGTATGTGTTTATCCCATGCTTTTCAAGTTCTTGTTTTTTTTTCTTTTTATTTTTTATATGTAATTTTGATTTGCTAAAAATATCTCTAGCAAATGCCATATTTCTTTCTACTTGTGTTTATGTACATTAACATTCACAAATAAATATTTAATTCTCAGAAATGCAATATTTCTTTCTTTTTGTGATTCATACAGAATTGTCCTTAACAACCTTTTAAAATACTTGGATGGCTCTAACAGTAATAATCAATTCCTTGTAGAGTTTTTTTTTTTTTTTCTTTTTTCTTTATTGTTCCCATTCTATAAATCCTTCAACCCTAATTGGGATTAAAAGTTAAGTACTGTTTTATAAATATATTCTAAAATATAGATACTCAGGGTTGGATCGAGCTAAAAGATTTCGGGGATAAAAAAAATAAAAATTTGCAGATTTTAATATTGTGATTTATTAATTGAATTTATTAATTATTGTGATTTTTTTATTAATTTTCAGATTTTAATATTACTATGCCATGATTGATTTGATTTAGGATAAATATTCAATTTAATTCTTAAATTTTTCAGTTCAATATTAATTTTTTTATCAATTTAGAATCGATTTGGTAAACTTCTTTCTGTAATGAAACCAACACAAATGAAGGCCGCGTTTTAGGCGAATTACTTTGTCCGTTTGTAATTTATAACTAGTCGAAGCGCCGACTATTTATAGGTTTTATGAATTCATGTAAATTTTTTTCTAAAAAAAAATTTTATAGATTAATTTGATTGATGGTATTTTACATTTAGATGCTTATGCCCTTAGCTATTCATACTCCATGGTAAAATTAAATAATTATAAATTTCATATGATTACGAACGACATTATTTAGGTTCTTTAATGAAATAACACTAACTTCTAATAATTCATATGATTCTTTGCATTTTAGCATTTTTTTTTTAAAGGACTTTGCATTTTAGCATCAAATATTAATAAAGTCACCGATCTTTACAATTTTCAAAAAATAAATATTTACTCTAATTATATATATAATATTTATGAATAAAAAAACTTAATCACATGGGCTCCATTTTTGATTAAATGGACAGGACTTCAACTTGGGAAGGAAATCACTCTAGTGCTAGCCTTTATAGGAATATTGGTAATGCAATTCAACTAACATATTAACTTTCATCTCTCAGCCATGTTAGTTAAAATCTATGATGCAAGGAAATTCTCAGCAATGGGCGTTTCACATGTCCATTTCCCCATAATCCGTATAAAATTATATTTAAAACTTTGCCTGAAACATTTCTGCGTTTAACATTGGTTAAAATATTATTTTATTAGTATGGAAATTGTGATTCTGTGATTAGGTGTACGCAATGTCTATTCAATAAGTTTGGGAGAAATCTCTAGATTATAATGGCAGAGGTACAATGACAATAACTTTGCTTAACAAAGTGTATATATACACACACACACATCTAAGTGCCTAACATAGGCAGCTTAAATGAAATGAAGTTTTTGTACATTAGGTATTTCCTGTAAATGTAAAATGTTCAGCTGGAAGTTTTGTGACTTTGATTAACTGGTCCGGAAGTTGGATTGTTGCATACACCTTCAATTATCTTTTTGATTGGAGCTCAGTTAGTAACTTCCTTCCTTGTATGCTTCCATTTTAAGGATGTTTCTTACTTTCTTTTATGTTATTTCAAGTGTATTTTTTGTATATTCAATCATTTCCGGCTTGGGTATTATGTTCGTGGTAAAGATGGTACCGGAGACCAAATGACGAATTCTTGAAGAGATCTAAGCATCGTTGATGACACATCAATGGCCAGAATTCTGAATGACGAATTCCGGCAACTAATCTAGCTCTTGAAATATATGACATTCTTGATCCTTCCTTTTACTAGTATAGTCTTCTCGGCTGGAATCATAAATGGGTTGTCTGTGATGTTCTTTGAAACAAATCAAGCATTGGAATTTTGTTCATTCAAATGATATGTTATCTTTTTATTTTCATGAGAGAAAATAATTATGTTTAAGGGTTGCACTATTTCACTCCATTAGTTACGTTCTATTTCTTGACAAGTTAATTTCATTTCCATTGATCAAATTAAGCTTGTTTAAAATGGAATAAATAAATGTTTTAGTAGAGATACATGCTAAATTGTCTCTTTAAAAAATGTTTTAAATTTAATATTGGATAAATTTTTGGAATATATTAATCAATAAGATGCAAATGCAATTTAGGATTAAAATGGTTTATTTTAATATTTATTATAATAATAAATATACTAATACAATTTATTTAAATTCAAACACAATTAAGGAAGGTGAAGAATTTCAAATGCATTTAAGAAAATTCTTAACGTTCTTGATAGTAAATGCAAATTTCCTAGTTTTGAGAAACCCAACATCTGCGACTGACAATTTTATCAGTTTTATGCAATTTTGAGCACACATCAGCAAGAACAACGTGAACTTTACAGATTGCTTCCAAACTTTCATTTATTATGTTTTGCAAAACAATTTTTAATATTATGTACATTGATTACAAAAGTAATAGATGTTTTGATATGATAAAATCAAAATTCTAAAATATTTTATTCCTACAAACCAAAGAAATAATAAATTGAATTCTATAAAGTTGTCATCAAATATGTTAGAATCACTGTTAGTACCGTTGATCAAAATAACTAAACTATTAATTAAAGGTAGGCAAAAATAAAACTCAATAAACATTAAACCTAATGCGAGAGAGAGAAAATCAAATATGCAAAACTGATATGCAATTTGTTATTGTTCTAAAAAAATGGGCAATTTGTTAAATCCTATTCAAATATTTAAAACTAATCAGATCTAACTCATACACAAACTGTAAGAATGTGGTTAAAACTTACATTATTGTTCGAGTCACCAAAAATCAAGGTTGCACTTCGACTTGTCTCTCTTTCTCAACTATTAGTTTAGTGCTGCAAGATAGTTAGAAATTGAGACTAGATGGGTGAATGTTGAATCTTGATTGTTGGTTGCTCGGCACGGCGATGCAGCGCAAGAAGGGGAGGGGATGTGCACTCTCATCCTTACACAAACTACATATGAACCTTGTGGTTCATAGGTAGTCTATGCAAGAGATGCTACATCTGATGCTAAAAGTATTAAGTCTAATTCCAATAATTAAAATCTTTATTCATGATGTTACTATCATAATCCTGCACA